AAGAATCTGCAGTGGTCTTGTCCAGTGGACGACTTCCTTAGCTAGACTAACCATGCCTAGCTAGCTCAGAAATGTGTGACCTCGATCCTAAGGGGACTAGGGAAAGGATTATAAGATTGAGAGTTGGAAGGAGCCCTGGAGATCAACACCATTCCCTTCACTTTATAAATGAGGAAACTGAGGCATTGAGGGTGAATGACGTAGGATCATAGATTTAGAGGTAGAAGGGGCCTCAGAGGTCATGTCACTGAAATCCCTCATTTTTATATATGGGGAAACTGAGGTAAAGTGATTTGTCCAAGGTCATACAAGTAGAATTCAGAGCTGTGATTTGAATCCAAGTCTTATAACCCCAATGGAGTGCCTGTTTGACAAATAACAGCATTTATATGATACTTTAAGGTAAATAGATCATATCTCATTCCATACAGTCATATATCTAGAACTGAAAGGGAAATAGAGGTCATCTAGTCCAATACCACCCCCCCCCCGCCCCCCCCCAGATGAGGAAACTGAAACCCAAAGAAGCTAAGTGATTTGCCCAACGTCACAAAGGTATGGAATCGTAGATTGAGAGCTAGAAGAGATGTTAGGGCCGTCTGGTCACACAGATGATAAATAGCAGAGTCAGGATTCAAAGTCAAGTTCAGTGACTCCAAATCCAGTCCTCTATCCATTGCACCACACTGCCTCTCTCACAACAACCCGGGGTAAGGAGGTATTGTTACTGTTTTCACTACTCCTCTCCTTAACCCTTTCACCCCATCCCCAGCCTTTCACAGGTGAGAGAACTGAGACTAAGTTTCTAAGTTTCTAAGTTAGGCTAAGTTTCTTACCTGGGGTCATACACTTTGCAAGTTTCCAAGAAAGTATTTAAATCTACTAGGCCCCCCGCCCCGAATAAATAGCACAAGACTATCACCACTTCTAGAAAAATTCCAGGTATGGGGCTTGGGGCCAACAGTATCAAGTTTAATATGAAGTTTCCAAGCTTTTCCTCAAGTCTTTGGGGGGGTCAGTTGTAACCAATTTGCAGTTCCTTCTTTTTCTTTTTTAAATTGCCCTCTTTTAATTTCTTGTGTAAGAAACTCCCAGTGAATACCAGTGCTAATTGTTACCTGTTCTGCAACTTTACAGTCTTATAACAGGAACTTTTAACCTTTTTTCTATCATAGACCCCTTTTGGAAGTCTGGTGAACCCTATGGACTGCTTTTTAGAATAAAGTTTTAAGATGCACAAAATAAAATACATAGGATGTCAAAGGAAACCAATTATATAAAAATATAGTTATCAAAATATTAAACAAAAAAAACCTAACAAGTTCTTGACCCCAGGTTTGAGAGTTTCTTGGAGCATTAAGAGGGTAGATCATTTCATCAGGGTTGGACACTGTGTCCGAGACTGTCTCAGAAGCTAGGTCTTCCTGACCCTCTACCCACGGGGTTCTGTTGCCTCTCAGGAATCTTGTACTTCTTAAACTGTTTGAAGAGATCCAGAATTGTACATTGATATTCAAAGTATGTCTGGCCAGAGTGTGGTGGTGCATGCCTTTAGTCCTTGCTGCTGGGGAGGTATACTCTGGTGGATCGCTTGAGCTCAGAAGTTCTGAGCTAAAACCCAATGGGTATTCAAGCTAAATCTGCCACTATTGTAATGAGTAAGGAGGGGCAAATGAGACCAGGTTGGAAAAATGAATCAAGTTAAGATCAGGCCTGCAAATGTCCACTGCACTTCCAGCCTTGGTGAGATTTTCACTAAAAAACAAATGCATAAAATTCTGATTCTTCTATCATTAAACTGGGAAGCCATTGAGTTTAGACCCGAAACATATTTACAAAATCAGCCTACAAAGCAAATACAATCTGTTCCACAGAGGACAGTCTGTTTTTTAAATAATTAAATCATGGAAGGCACTAGAGTCTTTTGTGAATCAGTAAACAAAGATTCCCAGACAAGCGAAACTCACTAGTGGTTCATACTTGTCAAACTTCCAACAACCAAGTGGACATGTTCTTTGTTGTTTAGTTAGACAATGGTGCCCTCTTGTGACCAAACTGGTAGTTGACCAGAGCAGAGCAAAAAAAAAAAAAAAAAAAAGGAAAAGACCATAAAATAAAGGAGAAGGACGCTAAAGAATAGGAAAAGGGTGGCCCCTTTGGGGTGACAGCATTTTTACATCTAGTAAAAGTATTGGTTTCATTTGGCTTCAATTTTTAAAAACATTAGTTTGTTTACTGTAACTACAAGTGACTTCCAAGATTTTTCTAACCACAGTAACATTTTACAAGCTTTTTAAAAAGGCTTTTTTGCTTTTACTGAATAATTCAATCAAACAGGATCTATTATTCACCTATCATATGGCAGGTACTATGCTAGATGCTGATGATACATGGATAAAAATGAGACAGGATATCTGCCTTTAAGGAATTTACATTCTGCTTATTTGGACTTTGCCAATCTGTATGTGAGCCTTTAGGGACAGCTAGGTGGCACAGTGGATAGAGCACCAGCCCTGGTGTCAGGAGAACCTGAGTTCAAATCCAGCCTCAGACAGCTTATTAGCTGTGTGACCCCAGGCAAGTCATTTAACCCTGTCTGCCTCAATTTCCTCATCTATAAAATGAGCTAGAGAAGGAAAATGGCAAACCACTCCAGTATCTCTGCAAGGAAAACCCCAAATGGGGTCACAGAGTCTGACACAAGTGAAATGACGACAACACATGTGCCTTTAAAACTTAACAGAGATCAGAACTGACAATAATGATCATTTTTCCCAATGTAAGTTTGAAGAACAGTCAACTGCAATCAAACAACCAGGGTAGATGCCATCTCTGAAGAAAAGGGCCAAGCTAAAATTAGAAAGGAAGCAGACAAAGATTTAGGTCTTCAAAAGTGGTTCATTTCAAACCACTGGGCCTTAATGATGTCCCAAGATACTTGGGTCTCCTCCTGGGTCATTGGTTCAAAGCCACTTTTATTTTAGAACTAGCTGGCAGTTGTCATCTTCAAAGACTTTGCAAGGGGGTAAGGGAATCTAAACAATGCTGACATTTAAAAAGATAAAAAAGAATCACCTTACCAGGAAATTGCAAATCCTTCCTTCATCTTGGTACCTGAGAAATGTAGTGGAATCAATTATCAGCCCATTTGTCCATCCCTCGCGAATCTCAAGGTGATCGATACCAATCCATCTATCTTTGTAAAGGACAAAGTATGTGACGTGCATCTAATTTCCATGGGGCACAGATAAATGAATGAGCTGGTGTTGTTTACCAGAGCTTACTTAGCAGCCCATGAGCAGCAGGACTGGTACCTCTGCCTGTTCTCTTTCTTCCAGCATACTCATAGCCTGATTCTGTTCTTAAACTACAGACAACCGGGAAGATTGGCTATCCCAGCCTTGTCTGATTTGGCCATGATTGTCTCAGTTCTTCTGGTAGAAAGGGGTTCTTTATTCATTTATTATGGAGAACTATATAAGGAAATATACTAGTTAGTGGGAATGCAATAGTTAGATGAACTAATCCAAGTATTTAAAAATCAATAAGAAATGAATTATTTTACTAGAAGCAGCCTGGCAGAGGGGTCAGAATGGTGAACTTAAAAATCCAGAAGACTTGGATTCTAATCTTGCTTATTCATTCATTCATTTATTCATTCTTTCGACAGCTTTACTACATACCAGGTACTGATCTGGGGCAATGAAGATAAAGAGAGAGATAATTGTCTAGTGAAACTCAAATAAATTAATGTATATCAAGTGCTTTTAAAAATCTAAGGTGCTATATGAATGTCTGTTATTATTATTATTATAACAATGTACAGGACATGACTCCAGAATTAATTCAGTTCCACAAGCATTTATGAATTCCCTGGCAGCTAGGTGGCATAGTAGATAGAATGCTGGGCCTGGAATCAGGAAGACTTGAATTCAAATTCAGTCTCAGACACTTACTAGCTGTGTGACCTTGGGCAAGTCACTTAACTTTTATTTGCCTCGGTTTACTCAACTGTAAAATAGGGATAATAAGAGCACCTACCTCCCAGAGCTGTGAAATTCAAATGAGATTTTGTAAAGCACTTTACACAGTGTCTCACACATAGTAGGTGCTATATAAATGTTAGCTTTTATTATTAATATGAAGGCATGACATCAGGCTGCTTATCTTTGTTTACATATAGTAAAGTATTTGTTGAATGAATAAAAATACAGAACTGACTTCCTGAGGGATATTGACTCAGTATGAGGCAGACTTTGTTTGGGTTTCTCTAGATCAGGCTGCTCCCTAAGAGTATAAATCAGAGGCCCTGGCCTCACCAATGACATTCCTGAGTAGGGATTGAACCAGATTAAAATGTAATTGGGAAATATTTAACAAATAAATAAAAATACATTGGATCATACGTAGTGTTAAAGTGTGGTTTTCTCAGTCAATATGTGGCCATATATGGTTTAGTGGCCCTTTTCGATGCCACTGCTCTAAGGCACAGAGAAGGTGCTGATCTGTTGTGGTCAGGAAGTCCCTATGCTCGTGAAATCACAGGTCAAAAAAAATTTTTTTGGTAGTACTTACCTCACAGGGTTACTGAACCCAGAAAGCTCAAGAATGATAATGTATGTAAGGAACTTTGCAAACCTTAAAGCACTATATAAATAGTGTATCATTATTATTAAAAATAATAAGTATATAAAATATTGAGGGAATTTCAGCTATAAAATGAAAGAATTTCATGGTTCTTGTGGAAATGCAACTCATTATAATTCATTATCTAGCATGTCTGAAATGAAGGCAAAGTTACTCTAATAACTAGACTGTATAAAAATGATGCAAATCAATGAGTCTACTAGCTAACTTTCTTTCCCTCAGATTACCTTTAGCCTATGGTGGGGACAATGAATAGACATACTTCTTTGTATGAACTTGTGCAGTTATGCCGTTTGAGGCTTTCAAATCTTCCAGTATGTGCTTTTTTAAAAATGTGACTTTCTCCCCTACAGGTATATCAGATGAATACATAACTCCTATGTTTAATTTTTATAAAAGCATTGGAGAGTTGAAAATGACCCAAGAAGAATATGCTTTGCTAACAGCAATTGTCATCTTATCACCAGGTAATCACAAAATTATGTTCCATATTTTAATTAACTATGGGCAAAGTGTGTGTTCAGAGTGGGGCACCACAGTTTAAGAAGGATCTTGGTGAGTTGGAAAAGGTCCCAAGAAGGGCACCAGGGTCTTGAGAGCAATTGGAGGAAGTGGGGATGCTTCTTTGGGAGAAGCAAAGACCAAGGGGCTGGGCAGGGGCCATGACTGCTGTCCTGAAGACCTATCAGCTCTAAGAGAGATAAAACTTATTCTGCTTGCATTCCAGGAGTACAATGGGTAGAAGTTTTAAAGTGGCAAATTTGGGCTTAATGTAAGAAAAAAGATACGAACTATCAGAATCATCTGAAAGTGGTAATGGAGGGCATCCAAATGTGGTTTCAAACATGTATATTTCATTCTGCATCCCAAATCCTTCATCTCTCTGCCAGTGTGGGAAATTGTTTGCTTTACTTTCAGAGATTTTGTTTTTCTTTTTTCCTCTTAAATTGGAGTTGGGGATGGATGGGAAAAACATAAGGGCTTATTAAAAATATTTTAAAATGAAAAAAAATTAAGATATAGGTTCCTCCTTGCTGGAGGTCTTCAAGTAAAGGTTGGACACCTTCTTATCAAGTATGTTATAAAAGAGATTATTTATAAGTAATGGGTTGGACTGGATGATTTCTAAGGTTTCTTCTGATTCTGTAGTTTTATGAATGAAAAGTGAGGAAAAGCTAATAATTTGCTCTCTACTGTCTTTTTCGAGTCCTTGAAATAAGTTAATGAACATAGAGAGTGATAGTATTCAAACACATTTTATAATAAGAATTTGGAAGATGTCAGTTAGCCAAGAGAACCAGTGTGGTGGGGTAGATAGAGTGTGGGACTTGGAGTCAGCAAGCCTTGGCATCAAATCCCCTCTGACACTTACTAGTTGTGTGACCTGGGCAAGTCACTTAACCATTCTGGGCTTCAGCTCCCCCCTTTGTAAAATGGAGTTGAGTTGGCTTAGATGGTCCCTTTGGTACTAAATCAGTCATCTTCTGACTGTTTTAGTTGTGACAATGAGTTTTCCATCATAACTACCCCATGTTCCATTTTCAGAAAGTAGATGCTTCCCTGCCTCTGTCCAAATGATGCCTTCTATCTCACCAACTTTATTTATTTCCAATCTCATACTAGACAGACAATACATAAAGGACAGAGACTCTGTGGAGAGACTTCAGGAACCATTGCTGGAACTCCTACAAAAACTATGCAAGATGCATCAGCCTGAAAATCCCCAGCACTTTGCCTGCCTTCTGGGACGCCTCACAGAGCTAAGAACATTTAATCACCATCATGCTGAGATGCTGATGTCCTGGAGAGTGAATGATCATAAGTTTACTCCACTCCTCTGTGAAATCTGGGATGTCCAGTGCTAAACTTAGGGTGGGGGTCTGATGGTAGGGGAGGAGTGGACCACAAGTTATTTTCATAGGAATATAAATTAGTTTTTATGACTTCTTTATTGCATTCGTACTTAGATTTCACACTGCCATTTTGTTCATTATTTATAGAGTAATTAACCAGTCTTCACAAACATTCACAAGAGAGGGACATCTCCTGGTAAAAGAGCTCTTTGGAGATGATGGTTCACTTATGAGAGAGACTCACTCCTTGGGACCAGTCTGCCCAGTTTGGGAAATTCACATGATTGGTGTTTCAATTTTATTTGTTGCAATGGGGGACATGCTCATTTTGTACCTTGACCTCCCTGTACTACACAGATTTTTATTAAAGGCATATGTCCAAACACACTGTAATCATCTAACAAACAATGGCCACATGAGCTTTTCTTGAGACTCCAAAACACAAAACAAACTCGTTGGATGTTGAAAAGCTTTTTTTGTACTTACGGATAAAACAGAAGGAAAGTCAGTTAGTCAGTGAGCATTTGTTTACTGTGTGCCAAGCACTGGGTAAAGAAAAGCAAAAATAATTGCTGCCCTCAAGGAGCTTACAATCTAATGGAGGAGACAACATGTAAATGACGATGTGCATTTAAGATATATACAATGTAAAAAGAAAGTAATCTCAGAAAGATTGCACTGTGGGGCAGGGGCGAGAAAGGGGTGGTAGAACCACCAAGAAAGGCCCCCCACAGAAGGTGGAATTTGAACTGAGTCTAGAAAGAAAGCCTGAAAGTGAAGGCAAGGAGGAAAAGCATTATAGGCTTGGGACATAGCCACTAAAAAAGTCAGGAAATGGAGCACTATGTTTAAGTAAGACCATTGTTACTAGATCATCGAGTGTGTGGAGGGGAGTAAAGTGTAAGAAGACTGAAAAGGTAGGAAGAAGTCAATTTGTGAAGGGCTTTAAATGCCCGGGAGAAAAATTTATATTTGATCTTGGAGGTAATACGGAGCCATTACAGTTTATTAAGTAATGGGAATAGCATAGTTAGACCTATGCTTTAGGAACATCATTTTGGTAGTTGAGTGGAGAATGGCCTGGAGAGGGGAGAGACTTTGAGTTGGAGAGATCAACCAGGTTATTGCAGCAGTCCAGGTGTGAGATGATGGGTTCTGCACTAGGATGGTGACTGTGTGAGGGAATTGAAGGGAATAAATATGGGAACTGTTAGGAAAGTGGGAACCACAAGGCTTGGCAAAGTTTGGGTATGTTAGGGCAGTACAAGTGAGGAACAGAGGTTGTGAGCCTGAGGGACCGGGAAAGATGGGGGTATCCTCAAAAATAATAGGGAAGTCAGGAGCAAGAGAGGTAAGGGAGGTTAGATAATGGGTAGGGGGTGTGCAACAGTGGAAAGAATACTGGGGCCCTGGAATCAGAAATCCTGGGTTCAAATCTTGCCTCTGATGCTTGCTACTACATCACCTTGAGCAAATTACTGAACTTCCCCGGGCCTCAGTCTCCTCAACTGTAAAATTAGGAAATTAAACTAGGTGGTTTCTGAAGTCATTTCTAGATCCATGATCCTCTGAACCTTCTTATATCACCCCTGATACAATGGAAGCTCCTTGAAGGCAGGTACTGGTTCATTTTGGTCTTCGTATATCCCCAGTGCCTGGCATACAGTCAGCACTTAATAAATGCTTGTTGACTGGTTGTTTGAAATGCTCAAAATATGGATGCTGCATCTTTGTCACTTTCCTTGGTCCAATGAAACTCTAATGGATAGTCAGCCTACTGTAACTTCCCCTGATCATTTCCAGTTTGTCTGAAGTCCAAAGAGTTACGTAGGGAACTAACAACAAAAATTCCTGCACCATGCATTTTCTCAAACCTTCACTTTCACTTCCTGTTGTTGGTTTCTAGTTAGGCCCGTGACTGTGGCTTTTTAGTTGTTCTGTGTACAGATGATTCAGTATCAGGAAGGCTCCATTATCCCCTGCCATTTGACCAGACTCTTAAAACCAATTAGCATTGGTACTTTATGATTTATGAGGCTTTCTGCATCAAAGATTTTGGGGCAAACATGCCCACACCTGGATGGGAAGCTTTTCTAGGTTGGCCCAGCCTGAGAGTCAGGACACTTTTTCTCAGTCATATCCCTGACATTTCATTCTTTCTTCTGCTCAACTTCCTTTGGTGAACGTGGTAAGAAACCTCGAGAAGTAAGAAGGTTACCTCATTCTAGCCTAATGCGAGTCAAAGAAGACTCTGCTAGCCCAGCAAAAAATGTCAAAAAGCATGAAATTAACTTTAAAGAATCCAAAGAACTTCATTAGTCAATGAGAAAACTCATCGTGGTAGTAGGGGGCATATAAATGGTATTTAATGTATACATAACCTCTGTCCCAAAGCCCATTGGCATGGCATACTCTCCTTATTAATGGAGGTACAAGAGTTACATATGCACATATCCCATTACATTCCAATCTGTCCCATTTCATCTTATTCCATTCCTTTCTTCATGAACTTGTTGGGTTCTGACTATGTGCTGGGCACTGCTGATACAAAGGTAATAAGGAAATAGTTACAGTTCTCAAGAAGCTTAAATTCTACTGCAACTTCAAATGCCAAATGAAAGAATTTGTGTTTTTCCTAGTGGCAAGAGGGACAAGTTTCTTGAGTTGGAGAGTGGAGTAGCATGGTTAGATCTGAACTTTAGGAATTTCATTTTGGGAGCTAGGTGGGAGACAGAATAGAGAAGTCAGAGATGAGAAAATGGAAAATCCATCAGGAGACTCTTAAATGGTTTAAGAAGGGAAGGAAATATGCATTTATCAAGCACCTACTTTGTGCCAGGCACTGTGCTAAGCACTTTTACAAATATTACCTCATTTGGGCCTCACAGCAACCTTAGGAGGTAGGTGCTTTATTATCATCATTTTACAGTTGAGGAAATGGTAGCAAACAAAGATTAAGTGACTTGCCTGGGGTCATTCCGCTAGGAAGTGTCTGAGGCTGGATTTGAACTTAGGTCTCCCTGACTTTAGGTACCAAGCTCTGTCCATTGCACCACCAACTGCCTCTAGGTAAGGCCTGATGAGGGCATAAGGTAAGGTGAATAGAGAGGAGATATGAGAAAGATGGTACGGAAGCTGAATCCCAGACCTGATAACGATCGAATCTGGGTGGGGAAGTGAAGAATAGGGAGACTGAAGAATTGAGAATGACTCCAAGTTTGTGAATCTGGGGGCCTAGAAGGATGGCGTTCCCTTTGACAAAATTATGTTTCTTTCACAGGTAGATATCTACATAATTGAGGAGGCAAGTTACACCAGTGTCTGTTGGATATGTTGAAGGTATGGTTTGGGATAGTAATAGGACAACAAGCAGGGGAGGTCCAGTTGGATGCTGGTGCATAGCCTATACTTTGTTCTGTGCCCAGGATAAGTGTCTTCTATGCTCTGTTTAACTGCATAATTCACCAAAAGAAAGTGAGAGAATTTTACCCTGGTATCTGTTCCACAAACCCTACTGTGTGAGAGTCTTGGTTGTGTTTTTATAAAAAAAAAAAAAAGTCCTTTTCTTCCTTATCCCAAGTCCCCATTCTCTGGTCTTTGTGATTAGCCAAAGAAAGACAAAATAAAACATCGGGATATGCCCAAATTTAAGATGTCCCAGTAGAGCTATTTGGAACATTCGTGCAAGTTGAGACATTGGTTAAAAGTATATCATGTCATGTTGACATCAGCTTCACTTCCCCCAACCCTGTGGTTCCCTCAAGCTATTGTCTTATAGCCCCTTCCTCTTTATTCCTAAACTGTCTGGAAAGAGGAGTCTGAAGTCACTACCTCACTTCCCACTCACTTCTCAAGACCCTGGTAGTCTGACTTCAGATCTCATCACAGTACTCAAGGTCAGTGGCCTTCTGATTGCCAAATCCAGGGTTTTTCATTCCTCATCCTTCTTGATTTCTGCAGAATGACCCAGCTGAGCACCCCTCCCTCCTCTCTTCATTTGGTTTCCTGATACAGCTTTCTCTTATTTCTCTCCCACCTGTCTTATCCCCTTCTTGTCAATTGCCTTCATTGGTTCAACTTCTTCGACACACTTCATAAGTGAAAGTATCTTTCAAGGCTCTGTTCCTAGTTCTGTCCTGTCTCCTCTCTCCTGTTCTCCCCTCTTCGTTTGCCTCTCCTTTTTTCTACTCTCCCCTCCCCTCTCCCTTCCTCTTTCCTCTCCTTTATCTACACTCATAGCTTAAATGATCACCTCTGTGGGTGACTTCCAAATCTATATCCAGCCCCAACATCTTATTTAATTTCCGTCCTGCATGTCCAGCCAACTACTGGACCTCCCCTGCTGGTTGTCCTATTACTGTCCCAAACCATACCTTCAAGTAAATTAAAATGAATTACATTAAAATTGAGATGATCATCTCTCCCTCACTCCCACCTCCAACCTGCCTCTTCTTCAACTTTCCTCTCTGTATTGATGGTGACACAATCCTTCCAGTCACCCAGGCTAAAAATCTTTGAGTTGTGTTGGATTATTTCCCATTTCTTTATCCAATACATCAAACTTGTTAAATCTTATAGACTTTAGCAGTGTAAGTTCTGTTGCATTCTTCCCCTCCTGGGCACTTATATTGCTACTACCAACTTATCAAGAATCTTATCACCTTTCACCTGGACTATAGTATAAGCCTCCAAATTGGCTTCCCTGAAACCAGGTTCTCTTTCATCAAGCCAACATTTCCCTAGCTGCTAAATGAATCTTCATCTTGTGGTGTTCTGATCACCTTGCGCCTCTGCTCAATAGCCTTCAGCGGTTCTCCATTGCCTAGAGAGGGCCAACTACAGACTCCTTAACTTGGCTGGCATTTAAAACCCTCAGTCTGGCTCATTTACCTTTATGGAATTATTTCTCTTTAATCTCCTTTACACACAGAGGCTTAATAGCTATCCCCCAGCCTGACCCCATCCTTTCCTACTTCTCTGTATCTTCACATTCCTCTTCCATTCCCAGAATTGACTGTGGGACATGGGAGACACTGGCACAGGACCGCCCTGCATGGCGTGCCCACATCAAGGAAGACACTATTTTGCTATGAGCAAAGAAGAATTGCAGAAACTCAAAGGAAACATGAGATGCACAGATTCAGAGACACGTTCATTGGAAATGTTCATATGGACTATTTGTGCCTGGTTAATGGTAGAACCTTCTGAGGGCTCCTGTTTGTCTGCTCAGTCACAGTCAGATATACTGTACCTTAACCTTGACATGGGGTTGGCTTTTGAGTACAAAGGACAACAACCTGATTGCCTCCACATTTATGCTTTTTAAAATCTCTTTCTTTTAGATCCAGCTCAGGTGCCCATCTCCACATAGACATCCCTTCCC